GCCTTGAAGAGCAAGGCAGAGCTTGGTTTTGTGTCAGACCTTGTTCTTTTCTTCCTGGCTTTGACAAGAAGATACCATTTGTCCTAGGGAGTTGCTCCCCAGGCCAAGAGTGGGGTCAGACATGGAGCACAATACAGCAAAGCAGCACCATCAAAGTACATCCCGGGCGGCCAGTCCTGAACATAGCAAACCCACCACACACCCAGGGACATCCAACAACCCACCCAGCCTGACAAGAAGTCATCTACCATGCAGGGACTCCATCACCTGCAGAAAATAAGGCCCAGCCGGTTTTGTTTTGGCAGGATCCATTCACACCCTGAAATAAGGCACAACAGAATATGAAATCCAGATGACAGGAGGACCTGCACCTGCTACTGCATCGCACAATTGCAAGGTGGACTTCTGTTCAGGTTGTGTCAAGCAGACAGGCTAACTTGCAGAATGAGGACAGGTTTAAGATCATGAATTCTGCTGATTTTACTAGGCAAAGATCTGCCCCCTTCCACAATATTGATCCTTCCCCAAAATTATATATTATATATAACAATTCTGTACATATATGCACACCTACTTTGAGATACTGCTATTATAGCATGTCATTACATTTTTGCAAGATCTTAAAAGTAGGCAACCAGTCTGTCTGACATGGGTTTTATTTTGGGGAAGCAATTTGGTAAGTGTAAACTGATAGTTAGGCTGATGGACAGCCAGATTGATGTAGGTGAACATTTTTTCAAACAGGAGATAGCTGTGGGTGGGGAAGACAAACCTTTTATCTTTAAAAGATTTTAAAAACCCACACTTTAAACATGATATTTTAAGAAGCATCCAAGTGAGGGGAATTTTTAAGGCAATTTTAATAACTGTTAATGAAAACAACCATTTTTCTATTGCAAGCCTGGGTGGTATTAACCCAGCCACTACCTACAGCTGGAGCCTCCAAATCTGATTCATACCTGCTTCAAGGGTCACAGCAGCTCCTCCACATCACATATACTCCACCTCCCCCAGACCTGCCCCCTTTCCACAAGCAAACCACATCTCCACCTCCAGCCCCTGGTGCCCACCAGCCCTGATCCTCTCTCCTGCACTAGCACCAGCCAGCATTTCTCCAAGATCTCCAAGCCCAGTGATAAAGAAGTCTCAAGCCATAATTTCCCCAACCTGCCCATGCCAGGACAGGTCCAACCCTTTTCCCTGCTGCTGTGGAGCCCTCCTGTGCCAAAATCCTAAACTAAAAGATAGGACTTTGCCTTTCCACCTCATCCACCCAGAAGTTGGATTTGGAGACAACCAGCTAAAAAATTATGCTTTGCCAACATTAAAAAATACTAGCACTTACAACAGATATCAACCCTTGTGCTTGCCAACAGTAAAGTACACACAGATACCACAGCTTCTACAAAGAAATTCCTCAACACACAATTCTCTTAGGAAGAACAAGGGCTTTAGAAACACAGCCAAATTTGCACACAAGCACATACCCCGCTGTCCTTCACGAGATCATCTCAAATGAGGCCAGGCAGCTTCCTAGGGCACATCTTCCCACCTCCTCCCAAACCTAGGCAAGCTGTGAATCCTGCTTTTATAGGGTTTTACCCTCCCTCCTGCAACACCTTCACCTGGTGACTCACTAATTACATCCCAAATTATCAAACAGGCACAGATGAGATTACTTCTACTGGAAGAGAAGACCTTGCAGCTCAAGACAGCTTATTTAATTCTCCAGTTAACGTCTTCTCCTACATGTTAGACATTTCTCTAGCCTTCTTTCTCTGCTTTTTCAGCTCATGTTTGAGGCAACAGAGGCCAGATAAGGGCTCAAGGATGTTTTGTGTTCAAAATGTTATTGTGGTGAGAAAATAGAGCCTGTGAAGTGATTAAAAGTTTTGAGGAGCAAGGGGAAACATTCAGCCGCGGGACGACCAAGAACACAGTCCCGACCAGTTTGGGTCAGGCAGGCTGCCCAGCACCCCGTCCCAAGACATGATTGACTGACTGGAACAAACTGGACACTGCTGGGCTGGGGCTGTTGGGGGGTTTTGCAGCAGTTACCGTTCATGGGGCCAGGGGCCGTGATCTTCTGCCCTGTAACAGAGCAAAACCCCAAACGAACCCAAGAAGTCCAGGCTGTTCCTAGGAAACTGCAACTTGCGAAATAAAAATAATTCATTTTCTTCACACAGTTACACCATTTTAGAATATTTTTTTCTGCAGGTTGGACTTGGCAAATATTTTATAGCACAGGAACAGTGGAGCAGTGATTAATGAAGGGCAGGAAGGAGAACACCTTGTTTGGAACATCTCAGCCAATGAGTTGTGGATCCCCACCCCCAGTTTGGTGGCATCAGCACATATTTGTGGAACCTCTCCATGTCAGGGAGCTGCAATGAGAGCAACTCCTGTTAGGAAATACCCATCCACACCTTTTAGGCAGTCCTAACATGGAGCTGCCCATGGCCCTGCCATGGAGGGTTGGGTTTCATGGTGAAGTGAAAGTCCATGTGGGAGCACTTAGGGGGTAACCTGTCCTCCAGAAATTCTTTCCCACTTCTGCAGTCCCCCTGCCCTGGAGAAGGATGAGTGCCTCCCAGCCATGCTCTGCTCATTGAGCCGAGACCGTAACCAGGGATGTGAAGGTACCAACAAGGTCTGCAGGGTGTTTTAAGCCAAGAGCTCATACGTTCGGGAAAATGTTTTGCTAATAACCTGGCTGTCCTGGCTTCTCCAGGTCTCCAGAAACACTGTGGGCAGGACTGAACACGAACCAGATTTTTCTGGTTGTACAAACACACCAGCTCATGCAAAGAGCTGCCAAACATGCAAAACACTTCTTCTCTTTTTTCCCATCCTTTCTACAAGATCCCTCCTTGTTGTAAAGAAGGTTGTCTGGTGTCTGGCCTCCCTTTTTCTTTTGTCATTTTGGATGGGAGTCGTCTCCGCTGCCTACAGATGTCTACAAGCTGGTTGTTCACAGCTGAGCTAGTCCTGCGCAGTCCTGCTGTGCTTGGCGGAGAGCCCCAGCAAGCCCCTCACTGCCACCTCAGGTGGGAGCCAGGGATAGACGTGTCACCTTCCAGATCCACCCATCTCTGTCTGTTGCCCACGGAGGAGCCTCAAAGGCCAGTTTAGTCCCAGACCAGAGAATATTTGATATCAAAAACCCAAGGAGCAGCAGCTTCCCCTGCGGTCTCGCTATGCTCCACCCAACACCTTGCTGACTTTGATGGTTCAAACCCTTCCCTCTCCGAGTCAAGGGGACACCCCATGCAAGAAAAGACCAGGCTTGTTCGCTGTTTTTTGTTTTCAGAGATTTTTTGTCTTTTTAATTTCATCTTGGTACGCGATTTCTGACAGTGTGTCAGCATCTCCCGCCGGGTCAGCCATCTCCGGACCCCGCTACATTCAGTGTCAGATCGTACGGTGGCGATGAGCCAGTGTTTTGAGCCTCACAGTCACTTGCATGTCGTTACAGGTTGTCGCTTACATCATTTGTGAACAGCAGCACAAAAGGACACAACGCATGAAAACGAGAGTGGGGATGAGGTGAGGGTCAGCTGAAGGCTGGGCCCTAAGGAGAACTTTCCCCAGGTTCCCACGGCTCCGGCAGGGATGAACCCAACCACAGGGTGGGAAATGCAGGGCCCTTCTTCCTTTCTCCTTCGCCCAAGGGCTGGCAATACGGACTGCAGCGTTTGCCAGAGCCAGGACAGCAGTTCACCCTGGTCTAGCACCCATATTTGAGGATACAGGACAGGGTCGCTGGCGGAGGTAGGCTGGGTCCTGCCGTGGGAAGGAGAGAGGTGATGCAGAGAAGCATGGCTGAGCCCCGATGGGCTGGGATGTCCACCAGCTCCAGCAGCGTTGTCCACCTCGCACCGACCTCCTGGACAGGTCCAGCGGTGGGGACCGTGCTGTCCCCATCGATCTGCTGATGGAGGAGCAGGTCCTTGGAGCCAGCCCTGCTTTGGGTTTCAACCACACCTCAAAACCAGTGGGGCAACCTGAGAGCACCAAAAATAACCAACCCCGAAACCCAAACCTATCGCCTGAAATGAACTGATGTTCCTTCCCTGCCACTGGGCGTTTGCAACCTAAACATAACGTTTATAAAAAGTAAATTATTTCATCTTATAACTTAAGTGCATTGAGTATTTCCTTAAATATGGTTCACGCTGAAAATAAAGTTACTTTTGCTGTACAGTAAATTTCTGATAGACTTAGAAATAAACTTTGTTGATACAATCTGGCAGGTGTGGCCGTGTAGTACATCACCCACAGCCACACGGCTCTGCACACACACATGTGCGTGCCCACACACACACACACATACACACACACAGCCCCGTCCTCGGGGTCGGGGATGATGTTAGGGGTTTCTAGCTTTCTATATTCGCATGGGAACATCTATCTTAAAAGTCCCTGTGTTTAAACAGCAAGCGCTCAAGCTGGTCGAGGGAACAGAGGGAAAACCCTACAGCGAAATTTCCCCTGTGCTTCCCCAAAGCATCGTCAGCTTTTCAAATTTCAAAGCCCGGCTGATGCTGCAGGTTCTCCCCAGGAAGATCTGCAGTTTGCTCTTTCTGCCGCTCAGACTGAAGGTGGTGAGGAAGGGATACGGCACCGGGAGGCTCCTACTGGAACATCCCCCTCCCCCTGCCTTTCTCCCTGCTGAAACGAGAAATTTGGTTCCCTGTTTGAAATTTGAAAATCCACCAGCCAGCTGCAAAAACCACTCCTGTCCCTAATCCTAGGCTCCTAAGAGAAACATGAAACTATGCAACCCATAACTTAACTCGCTCCTTGGGAATCCCAAGCTACAACACATTGTTTGACAGCATCCCAGCAGTGTCTCTTCCCCCTCCCTCCCAACCCCGGGGGCTCTGCAGCCCCTCTTTTGGGGCAGTGCGGCAGCGGCGGGCGCCCCCCCCTCGGGGGCCACCCCCCCGCCG